CTGTTGTGTGAATCACTGTTTCAGTTCTTATAGAAATTTCTAGTTTAATAGAATATTTTAGAAGCATTTCAGTTTTGAATTTTTTGCTAGTAATCTGCTCTAATTTGTATTTTTTAATTAGAAAATGAAAGTTTTAACATTTTTAACACCCAATCTGCAAGTTAACAAGACCATATTTGGAGGATTAGTTGGGCTACTTAGGGGTGTTATGGTTCCAGAGTACAAATTAGAACAAAAAACTTTGGTAAATGGATCGATCTGTTAACCTAAAAAAAAAGTACCGTTTACTGCCAAAACAATGTTCTGTCTACAGTGATTGGCCATGAATTCATGAATTTGAAGGTGAGAGGTTCTTGGACTATGTTTCTCTTGCTGAAAGTAGAAGTGGTTATATTGTTGTACCATGATTGGTCATATAAAATGTATTTTTAATGTTAGGCCTTGTCTGGTCTAAAACAGAGATATAAAAACATTTATTGGTATATTTCATTATCTGCTCTGCTGCCCTAGTGCTACAACCACTGTCAATTCTGCCTCTGCTTCCACTACTGCTTCTCCTATTTGTGATGATCTGCTACAATTATTGTGACCTTATTCTTCACAAACCAGACAAGCTCCTGCAACTGGTGCCTGTATGGAGAGCAGATCCCGTTAGTCCTATCCCTGTATCCATTGCCAAGTTTTCCAGCCTTTGCCTTCCCCCTATCATCTCTTCTACAGGAATTTCTTGGGGATTTTTGTAGGATACCTTCTTCATCCTTACTACGTTGGGGCAATTGTCACCTTTAGCTCTTTCCCTACACATGTGGCTTCTTTGCTTTTGGGACCTTCTGGGGTGGGACACTGTTTTTTACTAAGCTCGTTTACTGTACACTTCCAATCAGGACTTAAGGACAGCTCTTTTCCTCCACCGGTCCTTTGACTTTAGCATCACATGGGGTATCTGTGATGCTACATTCATTTTTTTTGTTTTTTTGGTTGCTCATTTGTCTTGTTCTGAGCCATTGCATTCTTTATTCATGTTCCATGTCTGACACCTTCCTGTCATTTACCTGTCATACTTATAAGAATTTCTCCATTATTCGTGCATTCTCAATATGGATTGGAGTTCTGTTATCAACCTGTACCACCTCAATCACTTCTTAGTTCTTTCCCGTTTTTCTATTTGTCTTTTATCCCACTCTGGTGGGCCATTTCTTCAGGACTGAGGATACCCAAGGTTGATGTTTCATATTCTTATGCCCATGTTCCTATTTTTCTTCACTTGTGGTGCTTAGGTTTGTTCACCACGGGGTTAGGTACCAGTTTCATACCTTGCCAATAGTGCTTGTTTTGGATCTGTATGTCTTTTGTCGGGTGGTCAGAGTTTTACCCTACTTCAGTATGATGGGTGATTGTACTTACACCACAACTTGGTCATCTGGCTTCTGTTAACTCATTCAGAACTGGAGTTGTCACAACATATTCATTTTCTTCCTGCACATGCTGCTCATGTGGTTGGATTTTCCAGTTGGAGAAGTCTGTTCCATTACCTACTAAAGTAACTAGTCTTTTGGGGATGTCTTTTTCAACTCCCAACTCCATCAGGCCCATCCCTCTCCTCTTCGATTGCATTTGATAGAGCTTTAAGTTACCAACACCATTACTGTTACCTATCTTACAGTTAGTGAGGTTCTATTGCATTGGGAATGTGGCTTCTTATCACCTTGGTCTGACATATGCAATCTCTTCAGAGGATACTGTATGACTCATGATGTTTTGATATGGTTCTTTTGGATTCTCCTCATACTTTTCCTCCTTCCCTCTTCAACTATATGTGTAGGTTGTTAAACAAAACCCCCACATTGTTAAGACCTCTTCATCACCTGGTCCGGATTTATTTCCCTCCCATTATCATTACTTCCACAGTTGGGGTCATCGGTCAATTAGCATTAGGCTTCAGGAGAGTGGTATATGGCCAAAAGGTCTTACCATGTTAACACCCTGGAACTTCTGGCAGTCCAACATGCTTTGGTTTACTTTCTTCTTGTCAGGATTCAATTCATGATCCATTCTGACAGTTCAGTGCTATTGGCTTATATCACTCACCAAGGGAAACCCATTCTAATTCTCATCGATTGACCTTGGGCCCTTTTTGGGCCCACACGCTTGACATACTTCTCCTGACATTTAATATTCCACCTGCTTTCAGCTTCATTGCAGGTCACATTTCCAATCCAGACACACTTTATACCATGAAGTGGTATTTCAATCCTTTAAATTTTCTGGTGGTTCTGCCTCCAGTGGGGTATTCTTCAGCAAGATGCATTTGCCTCTTTCCTTGATTCCAAATTACCTCTTTTTTTTTTTTTGTTTCCAGTTCCTCATCCACTTGCATTGTCTGTAAATTCGTTCACATAGGATTGGAACCAGTTTATACCTTTTTCTCATCCCATTCTTCATCTTCCCCTGGTAATTTCGTTCATCCATGCCACTTGGGGTCAGGTCTTTCTGATTGTTCCTTCCTGGCAGGCACAGATCTGGTTTTCTCAGCTGCTTCAGTTTTGTCTGTTCTTTTGTTCTGGATTGATTTTTACTAACCTACACATTGGTGGCTTATGTAACATGTTCTTCTTTTTCATCATTTTCATTTCCTTCCATCTCCTACTTTTGTATTTTTATTCCTGGATGGCCTTCTTTGTCTTGGTTGCTTCATTGCCTTAACAGCTTCTTTCTGTTGTTTCCCTTTCCTGCCGTTTCATTCCCTGACACTACTCCTCTGTTGGTCTCTTTTTCCTTCCTCCTGTAACCATCGGATTTGGCTTATGATTCAATTAGCTGTTTTTTCATTGTCTTCATTTTCCTGTAATCAATTTCTGGTGTCTTCACTCTGATCAGGTACCTTCCCTTTTACCTGCACCTTACCCCCATCATACTTTGGAGATGCTTCTTCCATCTTGCACTAGGACTACACCTCATACATTTATCTCCCATTATCTGCTTCTTCGGGTAGCTGTTTCTTTCTCATTGTGTTACCATCTTCCACCTGTTGCCATCCTTCACTCTTTGGTGAGACTGTGACCAGTTAAGTTACTTTTTGTATATATACCTGTTATTTTTCAGGGGCACCTCTCTTTTTTTCTTTATGGATTCTGCTCTTTGGCGAGTAATGCCTATCCAGGTATACTTAAACTAGTCAAATTCACAGTGTAAAACCATGAAGACTTAACAATTATAATTTCTGTGGCCACTAAACACGCACTGTCGAGATGGGGTGTTCTACAAGATCACTTGTAGGTTTTTATTCATGATATATTTGCTTCATTCATAGGTAAAGCAGAAGGGGATAGCTGCCCATCCCTGCCATTCCTTAGATTGAATAAATCAGGGGTGGTCTGCTTTTCAAAATAGAGTTTTTGTGGTCATCCATTGCACTGTCTTCAGTGTTGACCATTTTCCAGACTCTCCACTGCATTTTCTCCCCCCCCCCCTTTTCTTCCAGTGGAGTACAGGAGTCATTACCTCTTTCCAGTTCCTAGCTGCTGGGTTGGTGGACTATAGAAGCATCTTCCTTAATATAGTGCATTATAATACAAACAATAATGAATCCATTCAGTGAAAAGTAGGGTGGTTGTATTCTGCTGATGTAGATGATGAGATGTTCTCCAATCTGATGCTCCATTTCTGAATGGGTCTATCCAAGGGGATGTTGTAGCTTTGGAGTGAGGTGTTAAAATTGCAGTTCACCCCTTCGATTGGAGTCCCTCATTCTACCCCAAAATAGATGTCTGTCCCCAGTTGCTGGGTTTTGGATTTAGAGCTGGACCAATCAACGTAAGTCCATGCACATGTATTACAGGTATTTCTGTTCCCTCACACAATTGAACTCGTGTTTACTGCTACCTTTTTTGTGCATCATGGTGGATGAACATGCAAGTTACTACGTTTCTTCCTCTTTCGCTATCCCTTGAAGTTTTTCATATATGTTACTGCACCGGGGGTGGTTCATGTCTGATTGGTTTTGAGTGGGAAATTTCATAATACAAGGAAATCTTTATTATTCCGATCAGGTTCCCAGTTTGGTAAAATATTTTATCACCTTGCTATCATGTGCCCTGTTCACAGATCAGTGGGTATATTTCCCTCTGGTCTGCTGAACATACCAATGGTATGATTCTCATCCCAACCCCGCATGGATGTTGTTTCCTGGTGGCTGGGTTTTGAATGCAGTTGATTTGCCATGTACGGTCCGTCACACCCCAACCACTCTATACCTTGGGGCACATTCTTTTAAGTCTCACCACACCCACTTTTAAGTCTCAGCTGAGGGAGTGAGATTCAGATATAAGGTGGTTCAGATCCTTATCCAACCATTGCTCTTTCCCTTTTGTATGTGCTCCTCTCATTTTCTGCCCATGTCTACGTCACTTCTTTCCACACTGGGTGTAGAGTATAAGTGTTACATAAGTGGTGCAGTCTCCCATGTATGATCCTCCACTACAAGGACCTCCCCTTTTAGGGGGTTCTTCAGACGTTTTTTAAGGATACATCTTTCTTTCTCTTGCACTGGTCCTTCCATCTATTCATCATGGGATTCTAGCTATTTATGTGAATGGAGTTAATGTAGTGTATCAGAAGTTATAATTTTCCTATACTGAAAATGTATTAGTGATAGTTCGGTAGAATTGAATAGAAGTCACGTGTCAGGAAAGTGTGTCGCACTCCTATTAATGGAAGCTTGTCGCATGATGATTTCCATGCTAGAAGCAATGGAACCACAGTGACTGTGGGATATGTGGGAGCTCAAGGCTTGTGGCATGTGGAAATATTTTTGCATATAGAGGGCAGCACTGAATGAGAAAAGCTATTTATGTGATTTGTACTTTGAATTTCAAAATGAAAATTTTAATTCATCTATAATTATTTTTGTGTTTGTTTTTATTTTTGTTGTCTGCCATGTGAGTTTTACAATATTATGAATGGCAACTTCCTACGAGTAATATATTTCACTTTTACTTTAGGAAAATGTTGATGAGTTCATGATGGATGAAGGAAATGCAGAAGCAGTACTGAAGAGATTTGATGAGCAACATAATAAATATAAATTTATGGAACTTAACCTTTTGCAAAAGAAAAGAAGGTAGAATATTCATTTTGTTTATCAGTGTTTGTGAAATATTTGAAATTTGTTTTGTATTTTAATGATGAATATTAGCAGCTCATCAGTAGGAAAAGGAGAGCATGCCTCCTCAAAGAGATGTTGAACATATAAAATATTTTTTTTATATTAATATCCATGTTCTATGTTTTGGATATACAGCCCTTGAAAACTGTATATTTTTGTGGCAAAATGCTTAAAAATCTTCCTGTCCCGCTCTATGCTGCTCATTGAGTTGGCATTTTGTGTGATGCACAGAACAGTTGTTCCTCTCAGTTTTTCTTTTTGTCTGTACAATTTATTCTTTGTTGCAGAAACATCCGAGAGGAACCAAGCCTTTTTTACCAGGTTTAACAAGGATTATGAGGCCAGCTATACGTTAATAGAGCCAGTCATAATTTAGGTGTAAAAACATCCAATAAAAATAATTTTAAGAAATGTTTCCAACAAGAGGAGCACACAAACCTCACAAGGTTGTGGTGATCAAGGGCTGGTACAACTTTAATGATTATGTGATTATTCAGTATTTTTAAGGATATAGACAATTAAAGTGAATTGTATTGCATGATTGCAGTGACTTGGTTAAAAAGTGACAAGTTATCTTGATTTAGAGTTATTTCTGAGTTTTACAGTTTGAACAATAGTTAGGCCTTATCTGGTATGATAGTAGTTGGTAGTTTTCAGTGTGTTTATAGCTATGAGAGACTGATGACACAAACATATTTAAATAGGTTAAGATGCCTAAATTAAGCATCTTTCTTACTGTTCTATATTTCTGAGGTTGTGGTTAAAATACCACCAGCCTTCTCCTTATTATATTAACTGTGAATTGCCACTGGTGTGTATAATAGTTCTTCATCGTATATGTGGGTACTGATCTATGTTTGTGATTTTTGAACTCCTTTCACAGTTTTTGAACAGACTAACCTGAAATATTTTACTTAAGCTCTTAAACTCTACAGAATATAGATAAATAAAAATGTTTCAAGACTCATAAGAAGCCCCAGAAAATGGGAGGCAGTTGGTTTTGGGGTTGCTCATGTTTGACCAAACTGGTAATAACTGAAAAATTGCTATTAACATTTAAAAAGTTGTTCAAACCATTAAACTAAATCTGACTCCTTATATGGTAGCAAAAAAGATTTGAGGCCTCTCAAGCTTGAAACAATGGATTTACAATGAAAATTGGCATGGAAGTGTAATAAAAACAACTAAACATGGTTGTAACTCTCAGGCTTGAATCTGTGGATTTACAATGAAAATTGGCATGGAAATGTAATAAAAACAACTAAACATGGTTGTAACTCTCAGGCTTGAATCTGTGGATTTACAATGAAAATTGGCATGGAAATGTAATAAAAACAACTAAACATGGTTGTAACTCTCAGGCTTGAATCTGTGGATTTACAATGAAAATTGGCATTGAAATGTAATAAAAACAACAACTAAACATGCTTGTAACTTAGTGTGAAAGAGAAAGCAAACTTGTGTTGGCCTGCTCTTCCCAACTGAGGTGTTCGGGAACTGTTGTTGAGGCGGTGAGGCAGGGAGATCCAGACATGTATCAAGGTATTGAGTTTTAGATTGTGTGGATTTGAGGAGACTTATAAATTTTTTAAATGTTATTTATTATAATTATTTGTTAAGAGCAGTGATTTATATTTATATTTGTATGGCAAGGTATGTTTGGTACTCAAGGTACTCTTGAGGTTTTATGTAATGCAGAAGTCAGACTATTTCTTTTTTTCTGCTTTTTTTGTAATATTTGAAAGATAATTCGGTTACTTTACACTTTAATGTGAGAAGATTATGGAAATGTAAGTTTCTTTTAAATGAATATATGCATTTACAGTTTTTAAATGCTAAAATTGGAGATCAAAGGGTTCTGGGGCCCCCTCAGAAGTGGCTACACAGTTTTACTTGAAAATTAACAAAAAGTACATTGCCATTCAAAACAAAGTTTTTTTTGCAGCTGTTTCTTGCGAATTTTCTTTAGTAATTTGCACAGTTTCCGTGCTTTTCTGCTAACTATAACACTCATCTGTGATGCTGTTAATTGTCATGAACATAATGATGCCTTTGAGATTAAGATTACTTTTGAAAAAGTATTACGATTGCTATTAAATTTAATTAATGATACTTCTTTTTAATATGACACATTTATTCCACTGGAAAACTATTTTTCATAGTAAAAAAATGCTTGTTGAAACAACATGTTGAAAATCAATATTTGTTTTTAATTATTTATTAATAATGCCCACCTTCCAGTTTATCCTTTAATTATTAAATAAGAACAATTTGCAAAAAATTTTTGCTATTAAATTGATCTTTTTTTTTTTAATTTCAGGCTAAAGAAACAAATCCCAGATATTAAAAGCTCTCTTGATATTCTTAGACAGTTGAAAAAGTAAACAGGTAAGATACACACTTTTAAATGAACCTACAGCTTTTTCTCACACACACACACATATATATATATATATATATATATATATACACACACGCACACATACACAAAAGTAATATTTTTTTTCTTACAAGTAATGTTAATGTTGGACATCATAATATCAACTAAGCTACATATTTTTCTTGCTTCATGTATCAGGTATTTACTAATTACTACATATTTGTTCATACGTATTATCTATTTATCAGGATATGAAATACAAGTATTCCCATGTGAATCTACTTTTCTATGTACCAAAATGTTGAAGTCAAGCTTACCGATTGATTACAACAGGTGTAACCTTATAGATTTTGAAGTCTTTTCTAATATATTATTAGCTTGGTAGTAATTTATGTCTTCGTAAACTAGAAAGAGAAAATAATTTTGGAGAATGCTACATTTACCAAAGAGGGGGTTCAACTTTATGTGGTTAACATGTATTAATAGTAGAAATCCCAAGCTGTTGCAACATTCATTTGCAGAATTCATAATTTTAATTGAGACAAAAATAGTTTTGTAAAGTTGCCTTAGTCATTAACCCTCTTTATACAGACTTGGTCAGTTTGATAGACCTTGTAACCACCAGGTAACCATGAAAGTAGTAACCTTTTAATGTAGTAAGTGTATCTTCACAAAATTTTGCCAACTTTTAATATGCATTACGAGTCTTTTGTAAGTAAAAAAAACATATTTTATTGATAAAATATTTTTACTAGAGATTTGTCCAAAGTTATGGTGCCAGAGTTTGACTTAGACTGACTAGTTTGTGTGAAAGGTAAATTTTCATATTAAGATTAAAAATTTTATTTTTTTTCTCATCTTACAGTTCTCAGATTTCATTAGCATAACCTCAAGAGACTCCTAAATGGATATAAAAAGCTGTTTTCAATAGAACTTTGTTTTAACTGTTATTTTCTCTACCTTAACACTATACAGACTTGGTCCATTTGACCAACCTTGCAACCATCATAGGAAAAGTATGAAATAAATTTATATTACCATTTTTCTTTCAAGAATGACTGCAGATTATAACAGAAACTTGCACTCATTTATCATAAATAGCCTTAAGCTTGTCACAATTTACATCTATTTTTATTTAATTCTAATGTCTTACTACCAAGCTAACATTACAACCTGTAAATCACAGGGTGAACGTGTAGCTTAAGTTACAGTATTGAATTACATGACGTGCAAACATAACTTGCATAATAATCCCTTTTTTTTTCTTTTTTTTTTCGTATCTAACCTAATAAGTTTCTAATTTTTACTTTTTAGTTAAATTTATAACTATAAATACAAAATATACTTAAAAACTAAGAAATTTATTAAGTATGTCTGGCTTTTTGATTTTTTTTTTGTAATAAAACATAACCCTACTTTCTGTAACAATAGTAGTAGTATATAAAAAGAATTTTAATTGTTATAAATATGCAGATAAGATCACAAAATAACAGCATGCACAAAGCATGTAATGTCCTGTAATTATAATTGAACTGACTTTCTAACTAAAGTATAACTACCTTAAAATAATTCCTTTATCTGGTCGAGCTGAACTTGTTGACAGCAATGACTATAACTCTATACACCAAATAATTCAAGTCCTATCATGAGAATGGGCTAGTATATGTAATTCAGTAAATGAAAATCTTGTCTTCCTATTGGTTATAAATAATGTAATAGCATATATCGGAGAGAATTATTGACACCTGTTGAAAAAAGTGTGTGATAGAATATCTGTAAAACATTGTGACATACACACTTTCACCAAACCGTTATCCAGAGGGTTGATATTCTTAATGTTTGGGAAGTTTATAAGCAGTCTTTATTCTTTCTGTTAGGTAAGCGTAATGGGTAAAGATCACATGACATAAATTAATATTCTATTAAAGTGTATAGTCTTTGATTAAGCTAAATTTCTTCCTTGATCATTACAAGTGTGTTGTAGTTTTCTTTATATATATGATTAAAACATTTGGTAAAAGCTTTTATAATTGATTCATGTATTTAAATGTTAGATAACATTTAGAATAGTAATACAGAAATATGGAAAGAAACTCAACTCTTAGCTTTTGCAAATGTAACAACCCATCACAGTATCTGTATTTTGAGGTTCAGATTGGTGTTCAAATAACATCAATTATACAGATGTTACAGTCTTAGTATGTAAAAACCTATACAATATGTTTTTCTTAACCAATTTTCCTGTTCACCGTAGAACATTTTTTCAGTGCAATCTTACAACACACTACTTTGGAAAGTAGTACTTCACTGTCAGTGGTTTCAGGTCTAAATCTGTTGAATGGAACTGATCTCTTTGGAGAATAATGCAATAACTAGCCTACTTCTCATGATGATTATGCATGTTTGGCAAAAATTGATCAAAAAGAAATATTTCTTTGCTAAGCTATTCTCAAACTTCCATTTGTTATTTAGAAATTCAGCACAAGTATTTTACTTATTACTTTGTATTTTCAAGTTAAGCAAGAATTGTCTACATTTTATTTTTATTCCAAAACACCAAGATCATAACAAATATTGTATAACAAGGCTATACTTCATGAATTATATGAAAAACAAATTAACAATAGACATAAAATGGGATTCTAAGATTTTGCCTCATCCTAAAAATTCCATCTTCCATTGTCAATTGTTCCTCACTCCCAAGTTCCTTGCTATAATTTTTTTATCTTTCTCTCCCTCTTTCATTGGTTTTAAGAACTCTATAGTCATCACATAAATACTTGTTCAGGACTTCTTGTGGGATATTTTTTCATCAACTGAAGGTTATGATAGACATTGGTAAGCTTCCCAGTTGGGAAGTTTACACTTGACTTCTTGAATTAGAGTGCATGATTCCTCAAATGGACCGGCACCATTCAGTGTTGGGCACAGGACCCTAAAATATAGAGAGGAGGCAAATACCTTTGTTGATGAAGACCATACATTCCACATTTAGGATGCCATACCATATGACTGCTTTAAAAATAGATAGTTAACTGTTTAAAAATACTATGCTGATCATTGTGACTTTTGAAAATGACCGTGTCCACAGTGTGGTCATATAATGATTGAAATTCTTTATCAATGTGAACTAGGAAGATAACTTGCTTCTTTTGTTCATGTATGTTGTCATTTGTCTATTTCTCCTCAGCTTTGGTGAGGGAATTATTTGTTCTCATGTGCATAGGTGGGAGAGTTCCATATCAAGTATGGAAATCCCTTTTGGTGGTTTTAGCTAGAACAGAACCATTATGCAAATGTCTTGCAAAAAGAAAAGAAAAAAATAGGCATTGGATCATCTGACACAGATTTTGTGTAGTACTTGAGTTATCTTTTTTTGTTAGATTTACACACCCGTATAAAGATTTATTCCACAGGTGTTGCCAGAATTAAATGAAAAGGTTTGTATATCAATTTTTGAAAGTTTTCAGTACTGGCAAAATTTTCTGCTCTCACCCATTTACATGTATAGTGAGAAATTCTTGCTTGGCATCAAAAGTGTAGTTGTATCTGCTTCTGTCCTTTTAAATGATTGGACCACAAAATGGAGGAACTAGATGAATTTTGAGTTTTTCTATTCAGAACACATCTTTGTCAGGATATTGGTATGGGTCTCCTAGGGAAAGAATCATAAACGTTCTCTTCAACAGCTAGTGACTGAAGAGTTGTCTTGTGGATATTAATTTTCAAAGTTTTTGCATGTACAGATGAGGTTGAAATGTTTCTAAATTCTTTACATCATTTATGATGTAGACAATCTGCAAGTGTGGATATTTTATCATCATTATTCCCAAGTGCCCTTCAAATTGGTTGCACTACCTGTAACAACAGACAGGGATAGACTGAACTCTAAAATGTTACTGGGTAAAAAGTTAGAAGGGGCCCACAACGTTATCATAACAATAACAAAACTATGTCCTTTTCCAGGGGCTCCTACCGGATTTTCTTCCGGTGTCTCTTTAGGCCGGTCCACATCTGACAACAGAAAATACTTCTGTGGTCTTAGCCCACTAACAATTTTCAAAATTTATTTTTAATGTGATTTACATTGTGCTGAGATAAATTAATAATGGTGAATGAATAAAAGATTAGCTGTAGACTCACTGAGTATTTTCTCCAACTGTGTTAGGCATAACAATATTGCACTGAAACAAACATGATGACTTAGAGTTTTCTAGATGTTGTAATATTACACTGATACATTAATTGCACTGTGATTACTAAAAAAAAATAGTTTTATAATACTTCTAGTCTTGCGTTAGCAATCTATCATATGAGTAAATTACAGATCTACAAACAAAATGCTAAACAGTAGACACAAAAATATTACTGCTCATATTTGCTACAATTAAACCTGTTGAATGAAGAGCCACTTCAAGGTTTATATCAGTGTTCTTGTTGGAGAACTTAAGAGCAAATATGGGTGAGGAACGTGAATTGGTTTATGGATTTTCTTAAGCTAGTTTTATAGTATTTGAATTTTAACATTATGGGGAAATTTTGTTCACTTTACACAACTGTAAATTCTTACTCGTATTTCCATAAGGCTCTTCTCTTTGTACTCTTCAGGTTGGGTGCAGGGTAGGGACTATTTGCAAGTTAAAGTATTTTATTGAAGATTTTAAGGATATGTGATTGAATTTCACTTTTAGATTTTCTTTTTGTGAATGTTCAAAATTTAAATGAAGCATTTCATTATTTGCAGTTTGTTGGAAATTAGACAACTTTTTAACACATCAGTAGTTTTCCATACATAAAATGTTTCTGTTATCTTATACTATTTGACTGTGAATGAGCACTGTGATATTTTAAATGTCTTGAAAAAATTTAGTACACTTTTGTGTCCAGTCTGCTTATCCATGTAATTATGAAGCTGTTCCTCCAACTCAACTTAATATTCCTAAAAGCAGAAGGTAGACAGTAGAAGTACTGAATATTCATTAAATAATGCCCATGAATAAGTCCGATACTGCTTAACTTGGGTCGTGCACGGCCTAATGGTTAGAGTGCCACATTGTGGAGCTAAGGTTTCATGGATCTGTTTATTACCACGAAATAAAAGTAATGATATGCACTTTGAAGCTGTGAATGCATTATAAAAGTGACTGTCAAATCTCACTATTCAGTCTGTCAAGAGTATACTTAGTTTGATCTGGAAAAGAAAATTAACATGCAGGATTTGCATGCAAAGCAACACAAGGTCCATCTGAGTTAGCCATCCCTAATTTTGAATTGATAGACTAGAGGGAAAACAGTTAGTCAACACCATCCACCACTATCAACTCTTAGGGGATTATAATCTCGTGGTTGATGAACATGTTGCACTTGTGTTGTTTTTTTTACTTGTCAGTATTTGCAAGAGTTGTTTTTATAAACTACAATCTGTTTTAAACAAATTCTGAGAATATCACCTTCATTGACTCCCAACAATGGGTTTTATTGCCTGCACAATTTTATTTTCCAGTTATCGTTATAAAATGGTTGCCAAAATTCACAAATTAAGTGGAAATTTGACTTTTAATGAAGGGAGATCTAGCCCTATTTACTTTCTTTTATTTTATTAAGGTATAGCTACAAAAGTAACCTTTTTTTTACTCGAGTAAATAACTGAAAATAATGTGCCTTGAGAGGAAGATTATACTTGAGAACATTCCTTTTGATTTGTCAAAAATTAATTTTTGACAAGATATCTGCACTATATGGGTCAGTGCCTCCATGGCCTCTAATGGTGGAGAGCCCCAGTACCCTCTTCAACTTTCTTTTAAAATTAGTGAGACTCAGGAATAATGAAATTGATGCTTGCAGTTCCATGCACACTTGAACCACTGCATGGGGTATTACCACCATGGCCTTTACTTGAAGAGAACCCCAGATCCCCTACCATACAACTTTCTTTTAACCCCTTTTTAAAAATTAATGAAACTGAGAAATAATGAAATTGATACTTGCATTTTCTACACATTAATTTAACTTGCCCAGGTGTAGGTGGCAAATAGGTATTAGAAGCTCAGGTATATGTAGTGGCTCACATTGATTAGTATACTTTTATCTTAATTACGCAGTTTGTTATTCAAAATATGTTAAATATGTAGGAAGAAATAGAAATGTATGTATGTATGCTTTTGGATTCTTGTCAGGTGCATATTGTTATATTATATATATATTGAGAGCTTCTGTTCTTAAAATACTTAGAATTTTGTCTTAAATAAACCAGTAGTGTGACAGAATCTGATGTAGCTGAATTTGGCATGCTTCTTATATAGGTGGCAGAAATAATAGCTTAGCCAGAATACAATAGATATACAATAGTTAGTGGAGTTTTAGAGAGGCACAATTTCAGAAAATTATTTATTGTAGAATTACAAGTACATGTTAGATTAAATGTATAATTTAATCTAGCTATCATTTAGTTTTATTATGTGCCTTATAATATTACCATTATGGGGCTGGTCATGGCTCGGTGGTTAAATTGCTGGACTATGTATTGTGGGTCCTGCATTTGTGTTCTGTTACCGTAAAGAATAACAGAATCGTGCTCTACACTGTAAGTTTGTAGGTGCATTATAAGATTGAAGGTCATTATATTATTTGGTCAGACAAGAGTACCTCAGGAGTTGGCAATGAGTGTTGTTGACCAGCTGCATTCCCTCTGGTCTGTCAGTTAAAATAAGAATAACTAGCACAGATGGCTTTTGAATAGCCTTGCATAAATGTTGGAAAACAAACATTTGCCATTAAGAGGCCAACATTAAAAAAAAAAGTACTTTTATAAGTATCTCGGATCCCCTTATAAGCAAGGTTTCTTTATGTACCAAATTATTTCCCTATGCTTCTTCAATAACTTACTTCAGTTATAAGCAAGATCCATTGCAGTTTTTACATCAAAGTTATTTTTACCTCTGGCATTTGCTGCACCAACTTCAAAGCAGTATTGATGATCAAATTGATGTTGTGTCACCAACTAATGATGCATAGATTGTGAAAGAAATCTCAGGTGCAAATAAAAAATAGAAAGAAAAAGCTTAAAGATGTCGGACAGTTAAAAACACAGTAAGTTAGTATTTATATTTAAGTGCCATATAAGATAAAAAATTAAGACCAAGTCATTTTTTGATAATTTGTCCCTGCCCCTGTAAACTCCCAAAGTTAGTGCAATAGCCTATAGTGATCACTTGGTTGAAAAATTGAGTCAGAAGCAAGTAACATCACTCAAGGTAAACAAGACCAGTTGTGATCGGCATCCTCTCTGTGCATGGAAAACTGTCGGTTCGTTTATGTAAAAATAATTCGTTTTTGTTTGTTTTTTCTTGACAAATTTCATTTGACAGATGTCGTAAATACAGTTATTCGTGGGTAAACAACTATGGTTTTTCACTGTGTTGTTTATGGATGTTGGAACATTCCCAAGGATAAGGATGCATCTCTTGCTCAAGTTTCCACCTAAGTCAGACAGAAAATGGCACATTGTCTGGACGAAATTCATATCAAGAACTCGGGATAAAAGCTGCCATGTATGCTGTGAACACTTTTCAGAATCAGACTTTGAAAATAAACTAAAATTTGATATGGGATTTGCATAAAAAAAAAAGAACTGCTGCTAAAGAAAGATGCAGTGCCCAGTGTGTATCGAAAGTTCGAGGGAGATCCATCAAGCACGGCGAGTAGCAGCCAGGCTCATTCCAATGGCACATCATGCTCTTGTTCACAAACCAATAACAGCAATGATAGTCGTGTCTGATCAGCTGTTCAAAAATGAGAGGCATGCAGGATAAGCTCGGATTTTAGCTAATGTTTTAAGTGCGATATAGAATTGTCAGCAACCAATCAGGTTTTATAAACATACCAGTAGATCTGCTATATCAAAAATTTTTTATGAAATTTCACTTTCAGATATTATTTAACAAAAATGGGCATGAGCAAACATTTGGCTGTTCCTTTTATTTATTTTTCCTTGTTTATAACACATTTTTGTGAAATTTCAGTGGAGATATCAATATGCAACATAAAAAATGCTAGAGCTACAACATAAATTATCAAAATATTATCCAAGCCATGTTTGTTTTTCTAGTCCTAATGTATACTTAGTCATATGCAAATAAATCAGAGCTTGTGCAGAATACAGTATCGGAAGTCCATCGACTGACATAACATCAACATCTAGATAGAGATCCATCACTTGGAAAAACAAATTTACTAGAATTTACTCATTAGAACTATCTTCCTCTTCACTTGCTGTTGCCATTTTTATTTACCTTGTATGACATAGGTTTTCCCATCCAGTTTGCCATGTGGCACTTCTGCAATTTTTTTTTTTTTAAAGCTATCCAACCATGACCAAATATGGCTTTGAGCGACATGAGCTTAAGTATTTTGTGGCTTTTGTTTTTAATCATATTATTTTTTGTGCAATATGATATACACATTCGAGCACAAAAAAATGCCCTATTGTCTGTGTTCTTTAAGAGCTTAACATAAAATGTATCACACAAACACACACACACACACACTCAGTTTATCAGCCATCTTTCTGACATTAGGGGCTTCCTCGTGGAGCACGATTTTGATAACTTGTCTTTATTTGTTTCATTCAATCAATTTACAACCAATATATTTATTGCAAAATCATAGCATAAATGTGAATTATGTCCTGTATTAGCAGTTATACTTAATGCAGTCTTTCTAATTTATAAGTGACATTAAAATTAATGGAACCTTGTAAATGCATTCCTTCAAATTCATATTTTACATTCAAATCATTTAATGAAATCTACTTGTTTTATATGTTTCTCTACATTTTGTTTGAAATTTCTGCAGTTATTAAGCATTATTAAATAAAAGTAACTTAGCCAGTCAGTCTCATAGAAGTTCATATCCTCTTTATGCATTACCCATATTGTATAAACCCAGCATTTATTTAATACTCTAGAAATGTGAGAGATTGAAATATTAGAACATGTATGGTAGTACTGGTGATGACATCTGTAGGTTTGTGAGCAGATTAATCATTTTGGTCACCAATGATTATTTATAGTTTGGAGCCGGTTAGCCATTGTGGTCTTCTCTAAATACCTGTAGCTTCGAGTTAAGAATAGTACTGCAATAACAGAAGATACAACAGAAAATGTTATACAGAATTAAAATTGAATTTCTAACTTGACTGAGTTGAAGATAAGAAATTTAACACAAGTCAAAGACAATAGCATGAAGATGACAGACAACACTTCTGTTACTGTTGAGAGACCTTACCAAAAGGAATTCTCTATGAAGACTGAGAGAGTTTAACATTATATATACAAAACACTAATGTTATCCTCTCAGTTTACAATTGCAACCCTTGTCTCTAGAGAAAGTAAGTACAAAATGAAAACTCGGTCTCTGTGGAGTAAGAAAAAAATGTAAAGTACTTTTCCAAGTACTTTATGCCATCCTTACCCATCCCTAACTTTAAATCTTCTATCCAAAAGAATAAAAATTTATGTATATGTATACACACACATGTAAATCAGAAACCATGTACCAGTGATCTTCTAATAGCACCGTATTTCTCACTCTTTACAAACACGAAGCACAATCCTCAAGAAAATCAGTTACAATATAAAACTAAAATTACAATAAAATACAAGTGTAAACACTTAATCAAAAAAGGAATGAATACTAATTAAATATAAAATAAGCTCTGTCAGATTTTAAAATATTCTATATATATATATGGGTTCTGGTGGTGTGTTTTTTGCCAATTGTTGAAATAAATGGCTTTTACTTATATTTCTTAATAG